GTTAGAACAGACAGGAGCACAGCCAGGAAGAGGAAGAGACATGTCCAGGAGAAAAGGTGGAAGGGATCAAGGGAGGCCCTTTGCCTCTGTATCACTCTTATCTTTTTTTTATAAATCCCTCCTCATTCGAGAAGGGATTTGAGGCAGCTCATAAGAATTTGAGCATGGTACTAATAACACCGAGGTCCAGGGTTCAATCCCTGTACCAGCCAGCTGCCAAAAAAAAAGAATTTATATAAACCTGTAGTCAACAGTTAAGTGGGTAGATGTTATGTTAAGGGTTCTTACGATAAAATAAAATTAAAAAAAAAGAATGCATATAATACTATGAAATATAAAGTAAATAAATCCAAACAGAAGGAAAATTAAAGTAGAAAGTGAGATGAGGGGGCCGGCCCGGTGGCGCACTGGAGAGTGCGCCGCTTGGGAGCGTGGCGGTGCTCCTGCCGAGGGTTCGGATCCCATGTGGAGACTGGTTCCCACTCACTGGCTGAGCGCGGTGCGGGCGCAACACCGAGGGTTGCGATTCCGTTGCCGGTCAGTAAAAAAGACAAAAAGGAAAAAAAAAAAAGAAGAAAGTGAGATGAGACCAGGGGGAAGGTTAGTACCCAAAAATGTATGATGATAGACCCATAGGACGGCTCCTAAAAATAGAACATGTTTAGCGCCCTTGGGAGCGCGTGGTGCTGGTAACACCAAAGTCATAAGTTTGGATCCCCATACTGGCTGGCCACCAAAACATTAATTAATTAATTAATTAAAATTAAAGTAGAAGATGGAATTTGTCCAAGTAGACAAGTGGGAAAGGGAGAGAACTTCAAGGTTTATTGTTTATATGATAAAAGCACACCAGTCCCCCTGGGCATTCCTTTTCCAGACTGTGAGGTTTAACAGCAATGTTTCCTATGAACTCTGGTGGACCCTGGCTGGCCTCAAGTATATCCCAGTAACAAAAAATGTAGTTGTAGCTTCAGGGCAGCACTCCTCTCTGTAAGCCAAGGGTACTGTGCCAAATTCAATCCGTTATAAGCAACAGTGGAGGTTTTCGAACAATAGTGACAGAGTGATCCCATGCCTCTCCTGCACCCCCGGCCTCCTGGGCCCCTCTGGGTAGCTGGCCAGAAGACCAGCTCGTGGCTTGGGATAGGTCTGAGGCAGTGACCCTTTGTCCCAGGACACCCTGGAGAAATGTGGCAAGTGTGGCGAGGTGGTCCGGGAGCACATCATCAGGGCCCTGGGCCAGGCCTTCCACCCCACCTGCTTCACGTGCGTGACCTGTGCCCGGTGCATTGGGGATGAGAGCTTTGCCCTGGACAGCCAGAACGAGGTGTACTGCCTGGATGACTTCTATAGGTACGAGAGGGGTCTGCACACTGGGTGGAGTGGGGAAGACGGGGTGGGGCCCAGGCAAAAAGAAGGAGCCGAGCTGGAGTGCAAGGGGTTGGGCCAGAGCCTCCTGCAGCCTCTGAGCCAGAGGAGACCAGCCTTCCTGATCCACAGACCACGTATCTGACTGCACCCCTGCTGCCGCTGGCACCGGGTAAGCACTTACACTGTGTAGGTGTTTCTCTGGAGTTAGCCCAGTTAAACCTCCAAATTGTCCTTATAGGTAGGTACTCTTAAGGGTTGCATTTTACCAAATGTGGAAGGAAACCAAAGCACACAACAGTTAAGTACCAAAAGTTTCCCTGCTGGTAAGTGTTGAAGCTGCGACTCAGTCCCTCAGGGACCAGACTGTAGGGCTTTGCTCTCGGGCCCCAGACCAGACAAAGCACTAGGGACACAAATATTCATGAGACTTGGTCTCTTCCACCGTGTTGCTCCACACCCAAAAGTAGAGACAGCTGTGCCTATTAAAAAAGAAAGGAAAGAACTAAAAAAAATAGCAACCTATATAACACAAGGCAGACGAGGTGGGTCCCAGGCCCACCAAAGGAGCACACTTCTCACAGTCAGCATTCCCCGTCACTTCCTTGCCTCGAGCTAATTACACCCTGGGAAGCTGGGTCTAATTACACAGGTCTCTGCACCAGCTCCTGCCAGGAAGAAAGAGACGGTTTGTGGTTGTGGCTCCAGGTGCAGTCACATAGCAACGGGTCTAAAATAGCTCTGGGGGTTTCTGCCAGCTAATTTCTGCGGTGGTGGGTGTGAATGCCTCCCGAGCACGGGTTCCTTTCCCTCTAGGAAATTCGCCCCCGTGTGCAGCATCTGTGAGAATCCCATCATCCCCCGGGATGGGAAGGATGCCTTCAAAATCGAGTGCATGGGAAGAAACTTCCACGAAAACTGCTACAGGTGCGAGGTGAGTGGTGCAGCGTGCGGTGATGTGACATCATTCAGTCACTGCTCGAGTCCTGCTGAGAGCCTGCTGTGGGCTAGGCCCTGGGCTGGGCTCTGGGACGCGGGGATGAGTCAGGCGGGGGGCCGTACTCTCAGATTGCTGGCTGTCCAGGAGCAGAGACAAATCATGGAAATAATTACACATATAGTCTACTAATCAGCCCTCTTTAGGTTAATGGTAGAAACCAAACTCTGATGCTTTCCGTAAGAAAGGGAATAAACGTTGGCTTATGCTGGTGATATCATGATGATATCAAATGATAGCATTGGGGCTCCCTCTCCATCTGTTGGTTCTGCCTTTTTTTGTGTGTTTCCTTCATTTTCTCTTCCTGTGGGCTGTCATTCCCTGTGAGGAGGGGGACACGGTGCATGGGCATAGGTGGCCCAGGTTCGTATCTTACCAACTTAGGAATCATCAGAGGAAAGAACATACATACTCCATCCAGGAAAGCCGTACAGTCCCAAGAAGGCCTCTGATTGGCCCAGCTTGGGTCACGTGCCCATTCGGGACAATCACTGTGGCTGGGATGCTAGGATGGACAACCTGGGGCCAGGGAGGCCGAACCATTTGAAACAGAGAGAGGTTGCTACAACCACAGGAAGGGAAGACGGGATGCTGGTCAGGTCCACAGCACAGATGTCCTTTCTGGGTGCTGGGAAAGAGCTTTGCACCTTTGGGGCAAAAAAGGCAGTGCTGAAGTCTGACCAGGGTGGTAGAATCAAAGGCCCTCTTGCAGAGGAAGCAAGGCCTAACTTGGTTCTTACAGGAGGAGTGGGAGTTGGCCAGATATTGAGAAAGGAGAAAGGAAGTCCAGAAAGAGGGAAGGAAAAAACCACTGCGGCATGAGGAAGCCTGAAGGGTTGGAGGAAATGGAAGCTTCTAGGTGTGTCTGGAGTGTAGAAGGCCAGAGGCGGCGGTCAGCGATGCGCCCAGAGAGAAAGGAAGGGCCCGGCATGCCAGGCTAAGGAGTCTGAGCTCAGGCTACAGGGAGAGGCACGGCTGAGCTAGGGAGCTGGTTAGAGGATAGTGCGGGAGGCCAGCAGGAAATGCCCAGGGAGTCTCCACACTGGTCCAGTGACCTGCAGGGTCCCACGCGTGCTTTATAGCTCTGCTGTCGCCACTTTGAAATTCTTAATTTTTGAAGAAGGGACCCCACATTTTCATTTTGCCCTGGACTCTGCAAATTACGTAGCCTGACCTGCTGGGGAGGCTCCAAGAACCCTCTCCCACCCTTTCCCCTGCCAACCCTATGTCACTGCATTTTCTCTTCTCTGGTGATGGTGATGAAGGTGGCAGCTTTTATGGGTGTCACCTAAGTGGGGATTCCCAGAGCACATCTCTTTATCAGCTGATGAGTAATTCTAAACATTTATTCACTCACATTTACTTAAACAGATACGTGGAACCAAGAGGCTGTTTTCACTGAGGGCGTCGGGGGAGCTGGGTGGAGAAGTTGATAAATTGCTTCATAAGTATGTTGTCTTTGTTGGTTATAGTTCAAGGTCTGGCTAATAATGCCTCCTGAAAGACCAATGATGAAATTCAAGTGCTGTTAGTACCAGCATAGCCCTAATAAGCTCCAATGGTGATTAGTGTTTTCCTGGTCCTGCCTAGGAACAAATAAACCCCCTGCTTGGCCTTGGTGAGCTTGATCAAGGCTGCTAAGAATTTGGATTCTAGCTTACGTGTCTTGAACCTGCAGCCTGGGATGGGGTTGGGGGGCTGTTTCTCTAGAAAATGGGTTTCCAGGCCCTGCTCACTATCCCTGCTTGCTTTGTGGTCCGTATTATTTATTACCATTGTTGGAAAGGTAACAATACTTTTTACATGGATAATGTTCTTAAATTTATAAAATGCTTTCATGGACGCTGCCTTATTTACTGCTTACAACATCTTGCGAGATGGGATTTGTTGTCCCTGTTTAAGATGGGGAAACTGAGGCTCAAAAAAGTGGTTTTATGCATGTATGGAAACATCACTCTGCACCCCATAATTAAAATTAATTAAAATTAATTTTTTCATCTAATTTTTTAAAAAAGTAAAAATGGAAAGTGGGTCCAACTTGTGTTAGCCTGGGCTGGGTCCAGCCAGCTTTCTGCCACCCCACAGCCCCTTCGCAGACTTTGTAAGACTCGGCTGTAGTTGATGTGTTTGCTCCACTTGATTCTAATTTAGGAAGGGTCACATGTGCCTCTTTGAAACTTTAGGTTTGGCACTTGGTGCTCTCATAATGCCAAACAAGCAGCTGTTATGAATAACACAGGTAGTGGGATTAAGTAGCCCGGAGTCCACTTGAGACTCAGGGTGGAGTTGCAGGGAAGAGACACATGAGGGCGCCCTACCCGGCTGGCCCTAGAGGAAGGCAGATTGCACACCCTGGTCCCTGCAGGGGTCAGCATGGCCACCTGTGACCCTGAAGTCGTCTCTTTGCAGGGCTTCCAAAGGGTGCCAGCTGTGCCCTGAACCAAGCCTCTGGACATTGATCGTTCCCATTATTACTTCAGCATGTGCCCAGGTGAGGCCCAATAAGCTGTGGGCCTGGGGCACAATGGTGAACTTGGCCAAGCTTGGGCCCAAATCCCCATTCTCCTTCTTCTGAAGTCCTTTGGTGATTTGAAAAATTGGAGATATTAAAGTCTGTGCCATTGTTGAAGCTGTGCGGGCAGTGGGTGAGC